CGAAAAACATCTCTAAAACTTTTAGAGACACTTTTCTTGAGAAAAGTATTTAAAAATTGAAGCAAAAGCTTTAGGTGGCGTTTGTTTTTTAAGAGGTGCTTAAGTCTGAATTCACTTCTAAATTTTAATAGGTGGTGTTGAAGTCTGAAATCTGAATCAGTCAGACTGTTTGTTTTTACGTCTGAAATATGAAATCTGAATCAGTCAGACTGTTTGTTTTTACGTCTGAAATCTGAAATCTGAATCAATAAGACTGTTTTTGTAAACTGACAAACTTCTGAAGTCTGAAATMTGAATCAATTCATTTCAATTAAATTTAACTGAAATATCCAATCATTTAAACCATTTGTAAACTACCATATATTTTTAACACATTCAAAAATTCAATTGAAATACGTTCATTGATTCAACACACAATAGAAAAGATGAATAAAGTCTCATAACAACTAGAATCAATATTCATTTTGCATTAATTGTGTCGCAATTTCTTCTCTTAAACTAGCCATATATGTTTGGTCAGCGGCACTTCCATGCGATTGAATCTCTTCAGCCTCATCCTCATCATCGTTCCCTTCATACTCAGAAAATAGCTCATCACTTAAATCTTCCTTCCGTATGAAGTTGTGAACCGCAAAACATGCAATAACAACGTCTCTTTGAACCTCAAGTGTAAATGGTGCCATTCTTTTCAATATTGGAAAACGTGCTTTCAGGACGCCATAAGAACGTTCAATAACATTTCTAAGTTTTGCATGAGAATGATTAAACTTTTCATACTTGTTCATTGCTCGTCGACGACGAAAATCTCCGAGCCAATATCTAACATTACGATATGGCGCCATAAATCCGCGAGTATTTGTATACGCARCATCACATAGGTAATATTTATCTGAAAACAATAAATAAAATGCTTGTTCAAATGAATATAGCAAATATATTACCTGTAAAATCAATAGTATACCTAAAGGAGGAAATGGAAATCCAATATCACCATCTGTTAAAGCTTCAGACAAAATTCTAGAATCATGTGCAATTCCTTCCCATCCGGCAACAACAAATGTAAAAACCATGTTGAGTCACAAATTGTCAAATCATTTTGATAATATTCACCTTTTCTTTATCCTCTGTATAAATGTTGTTCTTGAATAGAAATAATAGCATGTATTAAAGTTCCATCCAAGGCGCCAATTGCTCCCTACATTAAAGCTTAGTAGTCAAAATCGAGAGCTTGAGAGAAGGATGCACAGGCGCGGCGATGGAGAGGTTAGAGAGACCAGGTAGGCGAATCCCAAAATAAGAGGTTTTCAGTGTTTAGTTTACCTCTAAATAATTCAGACATAATCAGAGCTTTTAAGCTCTTAATTGAAAAAAACAAACAAACACACTTAATACCCTAAGGTCTGACCGATTCAGACATAAGAGGGTATTAAGTGCTTTTTTTGTAAAAACAAACAAGGCCTTAGTAACTTTTTATTAGAGTCTCTGAAAAATAAAGGCTTTTTTAAAAATTAAAATTCAATAAAAGGTTTTACTTACATTTGTGAAAGCATATCTCTAGGCTTTATTATAAAAAAATAAATAACAAAATATAATGTCTTCAAAAATGTAATAAACAATCAGTTGGATGACAATTTTTTGTATCAAAAATCATAATAAAAACACTAAACGAATTTGTTAGAATAATGGAATCAAATTATTCTATAAATTATGAGGATGAGAGGAAGTTTTCTATTGATTATGAATTTTATATAGTGTAGTCACGTATTACTGAAGATTTGTGAGTAGCTGCTTGAAGCTAATATCCATCCAAAGGAGATTTTCCTACAGACTGACCATATCTCTGCAAAAGTTTGTCTCTGCATGAACGCTGTGTACGATGAAAAGGAGATATCAACAATGGTCAAGTCAACCCCTGCCTTCTTATCCTCAGGTGACAAGTGTCCCCATGCATTAAATGCTGAAGGTAGTATAAAAAGGCAGTGTGCATCTCCCATGCAAACTACTGGCTTTTTGAAAGATTACTTAGTGCATTCTCAAAGCAATCGGCTATTCTCTTCTTCTCCCTTGCTCTCCTATGTGCGAAGAAACTCTAAGTGTTCTTCATTTCCTTTCAAGAACTCTTTGTGTTGTTCTTGAAAGTTCTTCTTCTTGTAAGATTGTTTAGGTTAGGTTTTCCTTTCCTATCTTCCGCAACAATCTTTTGTATTTTTGTGTGTATTAATTCTTGATATAAATCAATAAGAATTAAAAGGTTGAAAAAACTCTGTGTAATTCTATTCAACCCCCCTTCTACAATTACTTTCTGTTTATTGCCATTCCCTTCGGGACTAACAAGTGGTATCAGAGCGGTTAGCTTAATCTCATAAGCTAGATCTGCAATGGCCTCTTCGTCTTCCAACTCTGCTCCTTCTTCTTACCAAGACAATGGCACTATTGCCAAGCCTCCCAAGTTTAACAAGAACAATTTCTCTATGTGGAAAAGTCG